ACATCGGCGTCGGCCCAGGGCTTCCATGTGCTCGTTAAACACGGTATGTCTTCTATAAATTCGTCATTGCGCATCAGTTGTGCAGTAGCAAAGCAATGATTCGTGACCTTCCATGGCACCCGCCATGTCTCGCCCCCGTCTTTACTCACTGCGAGCGTACTGTCTGGTGCGATTTGCTGTATCAGCGTACCAGTAGGCACACTGAAACCAAAGTGCGATGAATAAGCGTATTTTCCATATTTTGCTTCCGTTGCTTTGAGGGGCCAAGGACAGAATTGGCCCATGGAGAGGAGGAAATGGTGATTTGGCTGGTTGCAGATGATATGCATAGCCGGTTTAACTGGCATTACTGCCACTTCCCCGCTGGGTAAAGGCTTCTCCTCCGCAGTCCAGAACGGGTGGTCTTCCCGCAATCCTAGCGCTAGAAAAGATTTCATGGCCCAGTAAGGAGATTGCGGGCTGTTGTAGTCTTCGCTCATGTATATGTTGGGGTAGGTAAAGCCGATTGTCAAAGTGCCGTCGATGTTGAACATGTCATGTTTACTACTCCACCAGCGGAAGTGCCGGAGCAAAAGGCCTTTGATCACGCCCCAGTCGTGGAGTGGTTCGGGAAGTTCGACATCTGCGAAAGCGACGACGGACCAGAATCCAGCGAATGCGAAGCGGTATGTTAGACTGCGGCCGAAGGGTATAGCGGCACCTAGGGTGCTTTAGTTAGTGTTGCGTGCTCGCGATGGGTGTTCAACATACCATTGGTGTCGAAGTACCGCCAGAACGACACTGCAAATTCCTTCGCTCTACCCCGAAACCTCTCACACCGCTCTGGATCCAGATCCTGTGCCATTTTCGCATAGATAAGCTGCGAGAATTGGATTGCAAAGCTGCCGGAATAGTAATCTGCCTGTCGTCCCTCGTCGCTCCAGATACCATCTGCTGCCCAGCCGTCCCCTCGGTAGAACTGCTCCATGAGATCCAAATCCGCTTTCATCGCATCGAGTACATGCTCTTTCGGTACGCCGCAGACTTTGATCAATGCTAAATTTGTCATGACGCGGAACCACAGCCAATTTGTCGTGGGGAAGTCTTTGCCATTGATAGTCCCCAGCCACATCGTGATATTCCTCTTCGCTTCTTCCGACTGCGAATGGAACATGGTCTCTGGAGCTGATAGTAGCGCGAACGAGATGATCTCCATTTCCACCATTCGTTGGTCACGTAGCACGACTGGACCCCAGTACTCTTCGTGGTGTGGGTTGGTACCATTGGCCAGGCCTATGGCGTATGGTCCGATAAGCTCTTCGTACTCGTCTTTAGACACGATGTTCGAGTGCATCAGCGCGCCGACTGCCCATAGCGGCCGGGCGTATCCTTCAAGCTGGGCGGCGACATCGTCGAAATGGGTGCCGGTTGACAATGGGAGTTTGATTCGGGCGCCATGGGGTGATTGATATGGCTTCAGTGCGCGAAGGAGTGCTATTGATGCGGTTTTGAAGTCGGCGTGGGTCTTGAACGGGTTGTTTGAGAAGCCGTCTAGCGGAGGCATAGTGTCCTGAGCGTCATCAAGAGCTTAGACTGTGTGAAGATGCAGAGCCTGAGAGTTCTTTCAGACTGAGGCTGTGCGTTTGTGCCTCTACATGTTCCGTAGTCTCCTGTGTCCAGTGCTATGGCGTGACCCCCTGTGGGCGGTACCTTCCAGTGGGTGCAAAAGACAGTTCGTGCCTCTTTACATCCAAGCTTCAATAGGTAGCGCATCCGAAAGCTATGTCGGTACCGCGTATCGCCATAGGTTCCCGTCCCGTATTGATGGAATCGGGTGGCTTCCGGGGTGGAGTGATGGTGATCAGCCGAAAGGAGGGTTAGACCGCGCGGGGCCCGCGTGTGGAGTAATTATCGATTTATCCCGATGCCCGCCGCTCGCTGCATCCTCCACATTTGCTTCTTCTTGATCAGCGTTCTTGCGATGTCGTGCTGATGTCGGCTGGGTGGACCAATTACTCGGTTGGCAATGGTAGCCAGGCAGGCGAGGACGACGGTCCCGTCTCGGTGGGCGGTGACACGCCCGCGTGCGTTAGCTGCAAGCAACGCAAGCTGCGATGCTCGCGCGAGACACCCTCGTGCTCGCATTGCTTGAGGCTGTGTGAGTGTTTCTGTCGATTGGCGCTATTTCGCGTCGCTATCTTGCGTCGCTAATGTGCCATAGCCTCTGAATGTGTTTATCAGCCAAAGAACAAACCTGGGCTTAAGCCCGGAGCTGTTGAGGCGTTGACCCGCCGCGTCGGTATGTGGTCCTCCTTCTACAATGGACTCAATCTTACGCTCCGTAGCCTTTCTGGAGAGGATACTGCTAGATGATGCGGGAAACATCCGGCCATGGTATAGAGACGATGATACCACGGCGAATGGCCATGGCGTCGCGCATGAAAGCCCGAGTGCTGTAGAAGAACGCGCACCTCGTGTTGAGGAACACGCGCCGTATGTCGCGCCTACTCCCGATTATAGCCACAACCACCAACCCGCAGAGGATGGCTCCAGAGCTTCCGAAGAAGAGAACGGCGCGTCCAATCCTCTCAAACGAAGATTCGAAATGCCAATTGCTGAGAGTTGGCTTTTCCCCTTTGAAGATGTTGATATCGCGCAGCATTTGCCATCTCAACCACTGCTCGAGAAGGTCGCAGACTTTTTCTGCGTCTCGTTCCATCATTGGATCCCATATATTCATAAGGCGAGACTCCAAACGCGAGTGCGCCAAGGTTGCCAGGATCCAGGACATGTGTTGGTCCTTCATGCTCTGGTCGCCGTTGCTTTGCGACACATGGAGCCCGACGTACTATACCTGGATAATGATCAGATCATTCAGCAGACGAGGGTCTCCCGGATGATTGTGGAAACGCATGCGATGCGCAATGTCACCATCGAAAGCTTGCAGGCCCTCATCTTTCTAGTCTTCGATCTTCTCAATGACGGACAAACACAAAGAGCGTGGCCGCTGATCGGATCGCTCACGAGGACTATAGACTACCTCCAGCTTACTACTGAGCCATCAACGTCGCAGTCGGGATCACTCATGACGCCTGTGCGGTTGGTGAAGCCCTCAAACGACTGGACGGAGTTGGAAGAGCGACGAAGATTGTTCTGGATCATATTTCTGCTCGATCGATATTGTTCGGTGTCTACAGGATGGAACACTAGTCTCACAGCAGATGACGTGCACCGTCGGTTACCGGCAGACGGCGGTTTCTTCACCAGAGAAGAGCCGGTAACCACACCCTACTTCGGCATCTGGAACAAGGCCGCCGCCCGCATTGGGCGCTCACTGGCAAATGTGCCCGCACAATATAACGAAGAGGACCCAGGAGTCGACCACTTGCCGCCAGGAGCCAGCCCCAATTCCGCCAACGGCTACATCGATGCTTCCAAGCTAGGCGCATTCGCATACTGTGTCGAAGCAACCGAGAGTTTGAGTCAAGTGACGACATTCTTCCTTCAACAAAGGATCAACTGGCAAGACAAGGAGCATGCAGTCAGTTGGCTGACACGCTTCAAGGAGCTAGACTTGAGGCTTGTGCAGTGGAAGATCTTCTTGCCACCTAGGTGGAAGGACTCCAATATCTCGTCAGACAGGACTGTGGTTGACATGGATCCCAATCTGACACTAGCACACATTACGCATAATACCTCGATGATATTGTTGCACCACCCAATCGGATACCCACCCCGCGGATGGAACGACTTCGTCGCACTACCGAAAGAATGCAGTGCCCAGACGTGCGAGCTCGCCGCCGTAGAAACTTCAAACATCGTCGACAAATTTCTTACCCACACTCCCATACCCTTTGTTAACGTCCAATTCTCATTCTGTGCCTTCATCGCCGCCAAAGCACTACTCTTCGAACACCAAGCCACCCGCAAACCTCTACGATCAGAATTCCACCGCCTAATCCACAATCTCGAGGAAATGGCCGCAAGATGGAAAGGGAAAAACACTGACGACGCGAAACCAAACAACCAAGCAGCTATATACGCAAACCACCTCAAACGACTCCTCGAAGCCTGTCAAAACGACGCAAATTTCCGCTTCGACTTTTACGACCACAACGGCCTGACCCTCGACCCACAAAACTACGCCAGTCCGACTTACGCCGCAACACCACAAGCGCGTTCCAGAAGCCTTGCGCATGAACGTTCTTTAATGAGGAACCACGGACGCACCAACAGCTTCACTAGTTCACACTCGACCCTCAGCCCACGCCGCATCCCGCCTCCAGACATAACCCGGAATACAACCATGCCCTCACCCAGCAGCTATGAGCAACACCATCCGCACCTTCCATCCGCACACGCGATATCACCATCCGGACAGCCGCCACCTCCGATATACGCGTCGCCGCAAGTACCAGCTAGTTACCCGAGTCATACCCCATTACAGCAGTATCAACAGCCCGGAAACGGAGTCCCGGTATCTGGTCCATCGCTCGCCCCGTACGGCAATGCTAGCGCAACGGGGAATCAGCATAGCACTCAAGACCAATCTCTGCTTAATCTGTCGGATGCATTTATGGATAGCCATTTTCTCGATATGGATCGCGTCATTACGTTTGAGGATGCGAATTTCTTTATTCCGGGGGATGCGTTTCGGTGGCAGTGAGTCAGGATAGACAGGGTTGGGACGGTGATTGTGGGAGATGTGGTGCAGTCTGATAGGTACATCTTTCTCTACCAACGTACGTATCCGGCTATGACCAGCTGCTGGATCGTTGGATACCACGATGTTTCAAGCTATCCCAGCTGGTCATAGCCGGATAGGTATGTTGGTAGAGGTAGACGTGCAAAGTCAGGGGATGAGTATAATAGATGCTGAGCTTGTGATGGTTGAAGCAAGTGCTACTTCGACATGATTTTTCATGGATGACTATAAGATACGCACTCAGGAAGAATGAATACATCATCTTTTCCGGCCTATCGAAACCTTCCTTTACACTCGTTATTCCAGCGACGCCACTCTAGGCTCGCACTGAAGCACCTGTATGAGCGCACCCAACACAAACTGCGCCTCCAGATCCAGGTCCTTCCGGGGGTCCACCGCCCCCTTCATCCTCATCACCGCTATCCTCATCTTCATCCTCGTCTTCGCTCAGAACAGACCCTGACTCCGAGTGGTACCCTTCGCTTTCATCCAAGGACTCTAGCTCGGGAATTAAATCAAACTCATCATCCGACTCGGTCTCAGAGGACAACTCAGACTCATCCTCAGCGTCATCCTGGTCCGCCAATTCCACATCCGGACTCGCCTGCTGCAGAGCCTCAAGCGTACGCAGGTCCCTTCTACGTAGGACTGTAATGCCACTTGCCGCAGCCTCCATGCTCTCTGTGTATCGAGCCACCATGCTCTCTGTGTATCGAACATGCGCCGCCTGCATGCCCTCTGTGTATCGAGCTCTCGCTGCCTCCAACCCCGCATCGGTTCGAGCTTCTGCTCTCTCAATGAGTCGAGCAAACCATTCGAATGTCATTCCGGTTGGTACAGTGTGCGATGGGAAAAACTCGGCGCGGCAGAATGGACAGCTGTTTCCCCTGGTGAGCCAGCTCTCTAGACAGTTGCGGCCGAAGATGTTGTTGCAGCAGGTGACCTTGACGGGGGAGTGATCTTCGTTCGGTTCAGCGGGTGCGCTGTTGACGGCGGTGGTGCCATGGTCATGGGCGGAACCGTTCGTAATGGGGTTACCGTTCTGTGCGACTTCACTTGAAGGGCTCGCGGATAAGGCTTCTGACTCCTGAGGCTGGAGATCCTCGCGACAGATAGGACAGGAGGGGTCGGAGGGCGGCATGGGACATGTCTTCATGTCCGAAGCGACGAAAGCTGCTTTGGAAGCGTAGAGAGGCATTGTTGATCGCGGTGCCGATCTGGTTGAATGCGAGTGGCGGTAGAGTTAAGCAGTGTAGTAGTTCTTGTCGTGAACAGTGGAGGTGCTTCGTACATATACAATCAGAGAGGAGATTGTATAATCCCAGAGGACCCACTAGTCGGTGAAAGACTGCTGCCATTGCTTCTGCTATGACTATCCATAGCTTTCACAAGGCAGCCAGCGCCGAGCCCCTTAGGAGTTCCTTGCTTTCACTGCCCAAGAAAGTTTCACCCCTGGAACCGCTGCTGTAGACCGAGGGTTGTGTAAGAACGTCGTCGAGGCGTTGTGTCGAAGCTCGTCCCGTCTGGAATCCGAAGGATGATGCGAAGTCCAGAGTACGTCCTCCCCTCAAGACCACTTCGCAATGTTATTGGGAATAAGCTTCTTAAACATATCCAACTGCTTCGCATGCACCGCCATCTTCTGTTCCAGGATCTCCGGTCTTAACTGCAGCGTCCGATCCACCCTCTGTCGATTCCCACTATACACGACCGTATAATCTGGCAAGCGGGTGTAAGGCGGTATAACGGAAGAAGCCGATATAGTGCAAAACTACAAACATGTTAGCCCGGATAATCCCTTCCTTCAACGCAAAGAAAGGACGTGTAAGACGTACCCTCCCAATAATACTGCCCCTCCCCAGCACAGCACCAACCTCAACCACACTCCCCTCACCCACCTCCGCCGCCTCAACCACAGCCCCAGAATCAACAACCACATTCCTACCCAACACCGTTCCCTCACTGCGCATAGATTCCCTCACACTCCCACTCCCCCTTGCAGGAGGTGCCATACTCCCTCTCTTCCCCTCCGCATCACCCTCAGCGCCCATACCAACACCCACTTTCGCGCGTTCAAAAACCACACAGCCCTCGCCGAGGACAACAGGTGCAACTGCGCTGCTGAGCTTGCTATGAGGGTGGAGAACGGTATTAGGGCCGATTGTGACGGGGTGTGTGCCGGTGATTTGCGCGTGCTGCGCGATGAGGACGGTGGTGTCGAGGAAGATGGAGGAGGGTTTTGGGAGGATGGATTGGCGTTTGGGGGCGCCGGAGGTGCGGCGGTGGTCATTTGAAGGGCGGGGAGGGGCGGGTTGCGTCGACATGCTGTGTGGTGTAGGATTTTTGTATGGAGTCTATGAGTGTTGATGGTAGGGAAGGGTAGATGGCAGACGCGCTAAGGTTCTACTTAGCGTGTCGCCAAGTCACCTGACGCGAGCGTCGGAATGGGTAGGTACGTTTCGCCAATGTCGTACCTGCCTCGTCTTCGGCACAACACAAGATCAAAGTGCGAACCTCTCTAAGAAAAAAAAGCATGTTGCGGCTATATTAGGTGCTCCAGCTCAACGTAAAGTACAATATCCCAAGAGATAGATCGAAGGGGGTATCTCATAACCATGCATTACTACATACATCATGCCAATCCATCGCGTAAACCTACATGAATTCTCGCAATACCCATCAACAGCGACATCGAACAACACATCAACGATACCGCTGACGGCGCCCGCGCCTTACCCACATACCACATTCATAAACACATCAACAACATACTAAACCACAACCCTCCTCTCCTCCTCCTTACCCTCCCCACCACTCGGACCCCGCTCCAGTTCCGGGCTACTCACCTTCTCGGGACTAGCCACTTTAATCGGACTCCGCCTGCCCACCTCCTGGCCCTCAACTTCGATGCGGCCTAGTATGCTCTCCTCGTCCTCTCCCATACCCTCAATACTGTGCAGACTATCGTCGTCGGAAGAATCTTCGATGCCTTCGAACATGCGTGCAAAGCGCTGGTGTCCTTCGCGTTCTTCTTGTTCTTGGGTTTTCGGGGCGGAAGGGTCGTCTGGGTCTTCTTCTGCTTCGCGCGTTGATTCGAGCTGCGCTTTGCGTTGGGCGAGACGGAGGGCGAATTGACGGCGGGCGCGCGATGGGGGGATCTGGAGGGGCGGTGGGATACTGGGCTGGAAGAGAGTGTTAGTGGAGCTGTTCAATGGTAGTATAGGGCGACAATTCAGGGCGGAGATGGAACGCGAGCAAATCAGAATCAACAGAGAAAGGGTGAACAAAGGGGAAACAAGCAGATGGAAACGAGGAGGAAAGAGGACACCATACCAGATCAATGAAGCCCAATCATCCAGTGGTACATCACACAAAGGAGATGAGAGGAAACCACATCTCACGATGCGTATTACTACATGTATCATACACCCTGTCGGATGGCGCAAGGAATGTATGTACAGAAAGGATGATGATAGGCCCATAGATCTAGCATGCGAGCCGTCTGTCCGTTCCCGCTCATGATACAAACAAGTATAAGAAAAGGAAACGCACCAAGGGCGGGAAACATTCGTGGTATAGTGTGTATGCTCGGGGCCATGGACTTATCGATAGTCCATATCAGCATCGTCAAATGAGATTTCACCCACTTGTTCGGAGTCGTCGACAGGTCCCTGTCGTTGTTCCCGCTCTCTCTCGGTGTCGACATCGTCCATGTCTTCGTCTTCTTCGTCACTCGAGTTAGTAAAGCCACTAAGCAAGGAGCCTCCGCTGAAGGTGTACCCACCACCCTCAGTGTCACCAGCATTGGTGAGCTCCATGCTGTCGAGGCCTATGTTGCCGTTGTTGGCGAGGCTTGCATTGGAGAGCCCGCCACTGTCGCCTCCAAAGTTGTTGTTTGCTGCGTTGACGGCATTGAGCACAGCTTGTCTGGGCCCGACGCTCATGTCGGGTCGTACGCCTCCGAGAATGGCGTTGTCGCGCTCTCGCGTCTCGGCCAGGATATGTTCCACATAATACACCCACTCTTGAGCGTGGACCTTCTCTAGGACCATCTGCGACAGAACCTCGTCGGTGTGTCGCTCTGTAAACTTCAACACCTCTTCTGCGATCAGGGTGAGGTGACCCATGTATCCTAGTCGCATGGACGTTTCTTGGTGCGATTTGTCGCTCTCCTGCTGTCCTTTGATGATGCGCTCGGTAATGCCTCCGTTGTCGAAGAGGTCAATCGCTAGCTGACGGTTGTATCCACGGTCCATCTGACCGTTGAAAACTTGCTGAACGACGTCGTATACTACATTGTGTAGAAAGTTGTTCCATGGGAAGCGGAAGAAGAAGTCCTGCAAATATTAGCACGTTTCGCTGGAAGATATCGAGGGGCTTACCAGTATCGTTGGTACAACTTTGTTCTCAACGAATGTGATCTTCAGCAAGTCGCCAACAACAGGCGTACCGTCAATGTCGATCTCGAAACCTGCAGCATCCTCTGCACTGCCGAATACCACCGAGCGCACGCTCTGAGACTCGTCGATAGGAGTTATTTCCGAAAGATCTGATCCTGCTACTGGTGCGGTGAAGCGCGAGGTGTCGATGCTGGCTGGTTCGGCTTCACTTTTGCGGTTCTTACCCGCAAACAGTGGCGCTGGTTTGTCGTCTGGATGGGGTGAGAGGCTTTCGGATTGTTCAGCGGTGGTGGTATCCGAGGTCTGGTTGAGCTGCTGTGTGAGAAGAGATGGCGGGGTCTTGACATCGGTATCAGACTTCTCGGTCTTCGCAGGCTCTGTCGGTTCCTGGCGGTCGTTCATAACGGTGTCAGTATCCAGTTCAAGCTCATCGACCTTGGCACTCAGGCCGGCTGATGTGGGTGACTCGGCGTCATCTGCAGGCTTAGGTGGAGATGCAGGTTTCTCGGCAGGTGCTGCAGCGTCTTTGGGTGGTGTCAGAGGCTCGTCAACAAACTCGCCGTCATCGCCTGCCGTCTTGGCAGCGGACGGTTCCTGTGGCGCATCTCTCGGTGGCAGCTTCGGCGAAGGCTCCAATGGCTCTCCAATCTGCTCCTTCTCCGTTGATGTATCTTTGGCCTCTTCGACAGCAACTTCCGGCGCGACAACCTTTTCAAAGTCGTCTTCCGAACTGTTTTGTACATGCAGAGGTTTTATCTCTGCGGGAGAGTCCATGGATGGGGCGCGCGCGTGGTGGAAGCCTTGGCTATCAACGCTGGTGGAGAAATCGCCTGGGTTGCCGGGAATCGCTGAAGTCAATTTGCCGTCAGCCTTGAGACGTTCCCGCTCGGCATCTCGCCTCCTGACTTCAGCCTCGCTGCCCCGTTCGTTGAGCAGAGCCATGTTACTGCAGTGCAGCAACTCGGCCATCAGCTCACAAGTCTTGAACCGATCAAATCCAAGCGGTTCGATCTTCTCGCCAAAGGCTGTCTTGAGCTCTCGCTTTTTCTTTGTAGTGCTGCCATCGCGCTGTGTCACGATCTGGCTTGAGCTATTAACCAGCTCCATGAACTGCGGGATGTGGTTGGCGAATTGGCGAAGCAGTGTTCCCAGGTAGATGGGGTCTGAGTTCTTGGGTACCGGCCCAATCTGATTCTCCAAATCATAGTCGGAGTTGTTCTTTCTGATAACCTCGATGATGATACCCACACCGACTGTCAGCGGATTGCCGCCTTGCAGCATAAAATCGATCAGCTGTTTCAGACATTGTTCGGAGACAAGCTGGCGCGTAAGCTCGTTAGGCCCGATGACGGACTGGTCTTGCGTGGTAGCGTTTGCGGATATTGTGATGATAGCCTTGAGGAAGTCGCCAGCTGACGTTTGTGTGGAAGTCGACTGATCGGGGGCGAGGAACGATATCAGGCGGGGAACGAGGTTCTGTTGTTGCAGCCACTGGAGTCTGTTAGTTATGCTAGCAAGCGTGTATGGAACGACTTACGTCAACAATGCCCTGTCCGCCCTCGCTCTTCTCAAGGCTGATAATCTTCAACAGCAGGTCCATGATGACAGGGCAGTCGACGTGCTGCAACATGTCTGTTACAACATTGTCCAATGACTTGAAGAAGTCGAGCATCTCCTCCATCTTGCGGTCGAGCAGCGACTCGTTGACCTTGGTGAAGTAGCCAGCCTGGACGGGGTCGAGCGGCGCAGGCTGCTTGATGTAGGCCCAGAACTGTCGCAAGGTGTCCTGGTTCTCGAGGACCGCCTCGGATATGGACCACACTTCGGACGATAGGATCTCGCACGACACATAGGCGTACTTCATGCGCTGTCGCTCCTCCTTGGTCTCTTCACTATCGCCCGCATCGGACTTGGTGGTGGATGTCGAGCGCGCCCTGACTTTGCCGAAAAAGCCCGTCCGACTGGGACTCCTCGCCTCGTGCGCAGGTTCTCCTCCGGTGTCGTCGTCGGGGGGCAGGTCGGGTCTGGCGGCGATAACGTAGCGCAGCAGGCGTTCCAAGACATTCTCATCGCGAAGGTATTCTATCAGCTTCGAGTTCTGCTGCTTGAGCTCCTGTATGAGGTCCGACTCGTCGAGCAGCTCCTCGACGGTGACGTCGGGCTTGTCGAGGATGCTGTCGAGCGACGACAGCTGCGCGTACCCGCCGAAGCGCCAAAACATGGTGGTTGCGGTGGTTTGCGGCTACAAGGGCGGGGCAGGGGAAGGGTCGGGCGAGGCACTCGAGAGCGTGTGCAGCAGCGTGGGGCACATGCGTAGATTTACTGCGGCGACCAATGCGTCATAGAAGGACACACCGTGCAAAGCTGGACACGGCGGCGGGCTGGTTAGCAGAGCGACTCGAGTGAGACAGAGGGCGCGTGTTCGTGGCTTGGGCTGGATTGCACAGGTGGGACAGGTACCTTAGGCGAACGAGGCCGCGGGGAAGGCAATGGCAAACGAAAAGCGCGCGAGGCTCTGGATCAACCCATGCACCGACTGTTGCGCGGCGTCGTTACAGATACAGGCTGCGAAAACGTCTGTGTCTCCCGAGTCGGAGTGTTGTGGGTATTGTTGGGTTTGGTGGTGACAGGCAAGGCTAGAAGCTGCGTAGTACGGATAGCGTGCCAGGCCGCAGATCACTTGCACCTCCCTGATATCAACCAGGACGTGTCGAGAAGAAGACTACCAGCTATATCTGGGTACAAGTCTGGAACTCAGTAGTTGCTCGAGATAAGCATGCGAGCTAGTGCTGATGGCGTGAACGCCGCGCATGCTGGAGGATTTCATGGTTATGTAGCATCTTCAACAGTGTGATGGTTTGGTGCATCTTGCATCTGGCATCGCATGCCGGCATCCGCCTGTAAGAAAGTTCATTTGACTCGTTTGTGGATAGCTGTTGATGAATTGCTTCATCATGTACTATGGTTGCTTTTGTTAGCTTGTCAACGTCGGCAATTGCCATGGCATGGGACACTCTATGTATGGCAATCCTGCTTGGGCATCTCAGGGTCAGCGATCGTTAGCGCCCACGTGACGATCGATGACGTTAGCGGGAACTGCCGGAGCTACGACCACCGTTCGGTGCCCGCCATTCACCCCACACTGCCAACACACTCCACGCCTGTCCTCTCCCTTCGGCTGCATATCGCGACTCTCCGGCCGGCAACCCACATATCCCTCCACCAGCATGAACCGCTTATTCGGTGCAAAGAGCACCGCGCCCAAGCCCACGCTCAACAGCGCCATCTCCAATGTAGGCTCCATCCATTAGGCAACACCTTTCCGATACTGACGCGCTCAGGTCGACACACGCATAGAAAGTCTCGACGTCAAGCTCGCCAAGCTCAATGCTGAGCTGTCCACCTACCAGCAGAAGCTCGCCAAGATGCGCGACGGCCCCGGCAAAACCGCCATCAAGCAAAAAGCCCTCAAAGTCCTCCAGCAGCGGAAGCAATACGAAGCGCAGCGCGACCAACTTCAGGCGCAGTCGTGGAACATGGAACAGGCCGGCATGATGCAGGACAATCTTAAGAACACAATGACCACTATCGACGCCATGAAGACAACGACCAAAGAGCTACGGAAGCAGTACGGCAAGGTCAACATCGACAAGATCGATAAGCTGCAAGACGAGATGGCGGACCTCATGGATATGGGAAACGATATACAAGACGCTATAAGCCGCAGCTACGACGTGCCAGAAGATGTGGACGAGTCGGAGCTGGATGCTGAGCTGGAGGCATTGGGTGACGAGGTCGACTTTGAGGGTATTGGAGAATCGTCAGGCGTGCCAAACTTCATGCTAGACGATACTGCGCCGCCCCAGTTCATCGACGAAGCGCCCAATCCCGGTGGCAAGGTTAAGGAAGCCGCAGGCTGAGAAGAGACGTGTATGTGCACATACAACAAGTCGTGTGATCACAAGCGATGCAAGAGTCACTCACAGCTTTCTCATGGTGATCAAGACCCTACAGGAAGTTGTCATCGTCACGCGTGGAGCCCTTCTATGACGATAAGTACGAGTTGGCGGCCCGAAATGCTCGACTAATTTCGTCGAGCAAGGTCGACCATGACCGGCATATCGATGGGGAGCACGCTGCGAAGTCACAATACTTGGAAAGATCGAAAATTGCTTGCCATCTTGAGGACCACGGGCCACATAAAGCCGACAGACAGACACCATAGACGCATGGTCAAGCGATATACCACAAATGATACCCCATGTTATGTTCGAGTTCAACATGTATCTTCCCGTATGCGCGTGATTCATTGCATATCGAGCCTAACCTTGTATGAACCCTAGTATGTACATATTCTGTACTACGGGGCCTTTGGTAAAGTCATTCGCGCAGTTTCTACGCGCTGCACTGTACCATGCTGATACAGGTTGTGACACAATCGCAATGCTGCATTCCAGTGTTACATCGACGTTTTCATTGAAAGGGGCTGTGTGTAGGAAGCAGAACTACGCAATCTTCTACCTAGTTCAAGTTGTCTTAGGTACCTCTTTCTTGTTCGTAAAAGTCACTCGCTGCCGTTGAGACACCAACCGCGACAAGCTGAGATGGAGACGGTATGTACTTTGGTCATCTTGCTACTGGTCTACAATCTAACAATAAAAAGCAATCCTACTCGTACTGGACGCCACCGATTAAGTCGACTTCAGAAAGCCTCCGCACGCTTGAGACAACACCCAACATCGGCGAATTATTGACAGAAAGGGTAACGGAATCCGCAGGACCATATTCTACCGTCATAATACCACCTCTATTCAAGACTATCACCGTTACACCGAGTCCCGGACCATACTCTACAGTCATAATACCGCCTCTCTTCAAGACTGTCACCATAACAGTCGACCGGTCCGACTCTGGCTACGCCTCTTCACGGCCTCAGCAAGCAAGTGCGACACCAGCCTCTAGCGACTTTGCGACTCTCGATGACAGCTCGTCGTCTTCCTTCAACGAACATGGGATTAAGTCCCTCAATATGGGTGCGATAATAGGCGGCGTTTTGGGGGGCTTGGCAATCATCAGTATCATCTTCGTCGCGATGTACTGGATTCGCCGGAGATACCCAGATAGCAACAAAAGCGAGAAGTCAGCAGGTGCAAACGATGAGGGTCGTGGGAATGCATCAGAAGACGTGGAGGAAACACCATATGAGTTGCCTGGGACTCAGACAACGCCTGAGCTGGATGATACGGCAGTGCTTCAAAATCGATTACCAACTAGCTAGCTGTTTGCACCGATCAAATCCACCTCGCAGCTGCCTTTCCGGTTTCACCACCTTCCCTTGCAGCACCGTGTACTTGATGATATTCTCACAATCCTCAGGCTTCACTCTTGCCAACCATATACACTGCGCAGCCTCGCCATTACCCTCTGCCTCCTGCTCCTTATTAGCATCCAGCAGAACCTCCTGTCCATTATCATCTTCAAGTTTCAGGTCCGCGAGCCGCTTCTCCGCGCCATTGGCATGTCCATTGTCAGTGCCATTCGTGCTCTCGGGCCGTGTGACGACTGAGGAGTGTCGGTAGACCATGACGTTTGCCGAGAACTTGTGGCCTCCAACGTGGCTTATAAAGTATATTCCTACGCCGCCCGGTCGCTCGTCGTGTAGATCGCGGTATAACCCCAGTGGTCGGAGCAGTCGCTCGAACTCTTTTCGTAGAAGAGGAGCGGACTGGCCGCAACGTGCGTCTCGTGTCTTTTGACTGCACATGAGGATGAGGTATTTGTGTGGACATGGTCGGGCTTTGAGTTGGGGTGCGGGTATCGACGGGGGTATGGAGGAGGGCGCGTCGGCGTCGGCGGAAGAAGTCTCTTCCGGCTTTTCTGAAGGTGGTAGCTCGGCGGTTTTTCGTGGGCGCAATGGGGTGTTATTCGTAGGACCGGGGTTGATGTAGTCGGTGATAAGTTCGGGGATGTTCGCAGGCGTGACATTGTCTATGAACTGCCATGACGGTAGCAGTAGTACCATGGAACTGTGATCCGAGTGGTCTGGGACGGGCATATTGGAGGCGGATAACATGAGTTTCTATACCCAATTAGCTCGCACTCGACAGAACCTAACGGTAGCATATTCCCAGACTCACCCCATTGCTAGGCTTTGCATCGCCCCTGTCAACCGCCTCCATGATGCTGCCCTTCTCGTCTGCGACATCGCGCACCCAATCCGTCTTGCCAGTCGCGACAATCAAATGCGTACTCCATCCCTTCACATGCCCATACAGCTCTTCCGTCTCGTCAATCTCGAACTTGCGCGGGTATTTGACACTACAACTGGCGCAGTCGTGCAGGCAATCGTCGCCATCTACCGCGGGGTCGGTGGTCGGGAACAACTCCTCCGTCTTCTTCGCTTTGGTGAATTCGTCGCTGTCCTTGGCCAACGTAGGGACTTCTGACGACGAAAGTGCTGAAGTCAGCTTGTAGGACAGGTTGCGCAACATGGCAGGGACTCGGTAGGCGTTTATCGGCCGGTGGGGCGTCTTGGAAGGTGCCATTGCGTATCTTTATATCAGATGCGGCGATTAGATCGCCAAGGCCGCGGAATGTGGGCGCGCGGTGACGCCGACGCTTACGGAGTGGTTGGTACCTGGATGATGTCTTTCACGCCCGTTCACGGCCGTTGCTGCCTGGTACATACGAAGATGCTTGAGTAACACCGAATACACGTCGTTACGGCTGTTTTTCACGGAAGCTGACCGCCTCTTATGTTGCTTTTCTTGTCTCGGTGAATTGCTTCGGCTTTCGGACCTCGCGTTATCAGATTAGGCGACGATTATGCCCTCAGCTTCGGATTTGTTGGACGAGGCCCGGACATCCTCACATTCTCCGACTTCTCTCTACTCGGCTCCACATGACCCTCGCATACCTCCTACGCTAGTATACTTCGAAGACCAACCCTGTTCCCATGACTTCCGTCGCGCACGCGTCGATCCAACACGTACGCGTAGACGCGTCAGTCGCGTAAGATGCGGCTCAAGATGCTCAATGGAGCGCCTTTGCGCAACCATCTAGAGTTTAACGAGGACACACTTTTGGCAGTCGAGGATTGCCGTCCCTTTGATGCAGCAACAAGTGTCTCTACACCTGCAAATGAATCCACACCGGCTTTGAAGTGGCGCGGACTGCCTCTCAAGAACCCTCGGCTCCAGACTGGATGGTCACAACCTTTTCTCCCAGGAAATGTTCGAGGTCAAGACATATCAGACGTTTCGCTGCCCAATGTGAGTCGGTATCCGTCTTTCTTACAAGAAGATACAACGCACTTGGATACATCTATCGCCTTTGAGGATACGTCACTCGCCACACCTGGCTATCTTGAGCATTCGCTCGTCTTCCACGACACGCTACTGTCGTCTCAGGTCCTGCCAGACGGTATAACAGATAAGAGCGTCAGCTCCTCATCCTTCTTGACTACTTCTTTCGGAACTACTCTATCGGACTTTGACAGCCCAAGCAAAGTCGATGAGCATACACTACTCGTCAAAGTCGCGCCCAAGATGAGTATCACGCCTCTTGGATTGTTACCTAACGCACAGCGTCTACGAGCGATCTACCCGCAAACTCCAACACCAAACTTCTTATGCGTTGTGACAGCGACTCCGGAACAAAAAGAAGTCTTCGTTCGGAAGGGCGGATACAAGATGAATCTATGGGAGATCATCGTTGCGGATGATACGCGCTCAGACTTCAAGGTCACGTTCTGGCTGCGTCCACCCCGAGAGTCAAACAACGAACAAAACCACGTTCAAACCCAACTACTGCAGACACTAGAGAGCATCAAAGTTGGCGACATTCTGCTTCTGAGGAACATTGCGTTGACATCGTTCGGTGACACCGTCTTTGGCCAATCTCTGAACCCGGCCATCACACGGGCTCGAACGACTATTGATGTCTTGACGAGAAGCAACGGTGTATCAGCTGCCCAACTGGGTGGGCTCCCGGTGCCAGTAATCGAAGTTTTCAAGAGAGTCAAAAGGTGGGCAAGATTGCACATTGCATCTGATAGTGCAGGTTCGAGAAAGAGAAAGAGCAGCCAGGCGAAACAACTCGAGGACACGAAACGCACTCTCACAGCGCGTGATATCGATGACTCCATGCCTCCCGACACTATGGAAAGTGTATGAAGCACATCCCCCGCAAAATCGCGATAACACCAATTTTGCCGGTTAGCAATCGCTGCGTGCCGACATTGTTTCATCGCATCGACCATTCCAGGCCGTCACATCCGAGTTGATAGGTGCCTGAATTTCGGTTGCTCGTCAATTTGCTCTCTGTGAGCGTCGCACCATGCCGTGGTGGTCTGTGCCGCGGCCCTGCCATCTCACGCAATCAACATCACACAGCTTCCCCACGCCACAGCCACAATCAGTATACTGCACCGATCGAAGATGGCCCGCTCGTGCCGATGTCTGATTCTCAACTAGCCGGTGGGGCTAAGGCATCCCCAAGATACTCAACTGTCTATGCTGCGTCTTGGCTAGGACGACTACGTCAACGGTCAAGCGCAGTTATACTGAGAGCATGAACACCGGTACTAGACCCCCATTGAAGCTCGAAAATACGCTCCAGGACTCTGATCGTCTATGTTCATAGTCCATACCTCGTGCTCCTCCGTCCTTGGCACGTTCATGCGAAGAAACCAAACATGTTTCGAACATCATCCTACATGCAAGGATGCACCGACCAACAACGGCGTACACGCTGCGGCACCTGCCTTTTGACAGATGGTGGATGTTTTACGCATGAAGTACCGGTACTACAACGCGGTACGTCACTTACAGGCAGCGGGGCAGTGGATTGTGCCATCAGCCGTTCATTTTACGGACATCTTATATACAGCATCATGTCCATCCAGAATCCCATCACAGCATCGCTTGCCCAGTCTCTCTTTCAGTCCTAGTGACATTCATTCTTTTCGTTCGCAACTTGTTGCTGCTTTCATTCGTTCAGATCTTGACGATCATCTTCATTCGCTACCGGTTGGCCAACATGAAATCATTCTTTTCTTTCACTGGTCTGGCTACCACACTCTCGTTACTGGCAAGCGTACAAGCTGTGTCCAACTCTACCAATGGTCCTTCATGTGGAGTTGCAAAGGCAGACGACAGCTACTTCAGTGTTGTCGGAGTCCAGGGAACTGGAGTACACCCCCGACAGGAACTCCGTGAATTGCAGAAAGACACGGAGTTATGGAACATCTTTATCCAAGCGTTTGCTCGCTTTCAGGCTATGGACCAGGATCAAAAGATCTCTTACTTCCAGGTCGCAGGTATGTAGTTAATGTTCTTATCAGAGGCTTAACTAACATCTCTAGGGATACACGGAGTGCCATTCCAGAAGTGGGACAATGTGAACGGGACAGCTGGTCATGAGATGATGGGATATTGTCCTCATGGGTCCAGCATGTTCGGTCCGTGGCACAGACCGTATCTCGCGCTCTTCGAGCAGGTTCTCCATGATCGCGCGGTCGACGTCGCCAATGAGTATCCCATCGGTGAAGCCCGTAACAAGGCCTTGGATATTGCAAACCGAGTTCGCCTTCCTTACTGGGACTGGGCAATGGACCCGCCAAACAGTGAAGAGGGTGTCATTCCTGAGAACGTGCGTTGCCTCACGGCTACTGTCACGTTTCCCAATGGGACCACAGGGTATATCCCCAACCCTCTGTACAAATACGACTTCCATCCTCTGAAGTATGATGACTTCGCTCCTTTGGTACGTCTCAAATCTATACCTCCGCGTTCCACGCAGAAGATATCATATTCGAGAACTTGGCTGCTAACACACGAGTAGAGCGAGTTTGAGTTCAAGTACTGGAATCACACTATTCGGTACCCAGCTGACCCGCATGCTGCCAATGCCACCAGCCGTAACAGCGAGGTTAACGATCGAGTGGGCAAGCAGCAGCCCAATCTCCGCGATATGCTCTACAAGTTGTTGACAACGTACCAACCCTTCAGCCAAGTGAGCAACAAGGCGAACGGTGGCAAGATCGGAAACTTTGAGACTCTACACGATGGTCTGCACACCGTCTTCGGATTGGGTCACATGGGTATAGTGGAGGTTTCCGCCTTCGACCCCATCTTCTGGTTCCATCACTGGTAAGTCCTCGGAACGTAATGCTGAGAGTAATGCTAACCGTGTGTAGTAACATTGATCGGATCATATCTATGTACCAAACTCGCTACCCCGACACCTGGGTCGAGGACGCCGAGCAGCGTATGGGTTCATTCTCTGTCGCCAGCGGTAGCGTTCTTGGTACTGCTTCGCCACTCGCACCGTTCCACATGAACGCCCTTGGCGACATGTGGACTGCAACCACTTCCCGCAATTGGACCTCCTTTGGATACACCTACCCCGAACTCGAAAACAACCCCAGCAATGCGACGCTGACATCGTCCATCAATCAGTTGTACAAGGCCCAGAATCAAGGTCTGAGCGAGACCAATGCGACTGTCAATGCGACATTCCCGGCTCCAGGCGGAGGCAGCATCAACCGCACGGTTCAGGCTACCGACTGGCAGTGTGAAGTCAATATGCCCACCGACATCAAGGTCTCCTACGCCGTTCGTGCCTTCCTTGGCGAGCCCAGCACCAACCCCATCGACTGGCCCACAGACCCCAACTACGTTGGTCAGCTCGCCACCTTGTCTTCTCCGCGAATGAGCTCTTCAAACATCGTTACGGGTAACATTGGCCTGACAGAGAAGCTCGCACAGAAGCACGCGGCCGGCGAGCTCAAGAGCCTGGACAAAGAGACAGTACAGGCCTATCTCAAAGAGAAGTTCAGCTGGCGCATCCAAGCTCTGGACTTCAGCGAGATCCCACGAAACAAACCACCCAAGGGCTTGAACGTCACCGTATTCAGCGTGCCAGTCAGCATCCCAGAATCCGACACCGAGGTGCCGACCTGGAACGGCGATGTCGAATACAAGGACGACATCGAAGGCAACCCGCCTGTGTACAACGGACCTGGACCTGACGGCACCAACTCCACTCTCCCTGCCGATCAGTCGAGCGGATCTTACGACGCTGAATCTGGCGAGTTTGTATGGAAGAAGGCTCCGGTTCCGGAAGTCGCGCCTGACGCTGGTGGTGCGGGTCCCCAGATTGCAACGACGCTCTTGGAGTCGGTCATTACGCAGTATGTGACGCTGGGTGCTTCTACCCCTGCGGTATCCACACCTACACCTGCGACCTCATCTGAGGTCTCCAGCGCGACATCTATCTCTTCTACACCTACTCCCACACCCCAGGTTTCTAGCGCACCAGCCGTCTCAGAGCAAGCGCCTGAGCCTACCGCGCCCGCTGACCCACAAACTACGGTCGTGACTTCGGTTGTCATGGAGTATGTCACTGTGTAAACCAGCGACAATGACCGGCTAGGTATCGTTTCTGCTGTTTGTTGGCTGCGGCGCACTTTTCCACTCATCTTTCTTGTACATGTCTCTCTTCACGTTTGTGCACACTTGCACTATCACACTCGTTCTATGCTGTTGCATATACATACCCGCACTCGCTTGATATCGCTGTATATACACTACCACGCCTTACGCCTTACGCTCATTTCGTCACGCACGCAAAAGAAATCCAACCGCTCGTTCTTTGACTCTTGCTCGTTGCTCACCTGTTCTGCTCTTCTCATATGCTAGCTTCCTTGATACCGTCTTCACACCTGCTCACTCACAGCAAAGGCACATCAAACCAGCAAGCAGACAATGCAGACTTGCTTCACTTCAACATGTATTTCTCATCAACGACTACTCATCCCAACGCCCCAACACCCATCACAGCAACCCCGCCCTCAAAAGCTTATTCCCGAATTCCAAAAGGTAGTAATCCGCATACACCAACCCATGATCCGCATACTTCATATGCGCATGTTCGTTCCAATTCGTCGTGCTGTTCCTTAGTATACACTCGAACCCTGATTTTTTGATCTTGAGCTCTGATGCTACCACTGCGCCGTTCACGCTGTTCCCATTGACCATGGCCTTGGTGGGGAGTTCAAAAGACGCTAGATCAGAGTCGTACGACATATCTAGAGTCTGGGATACGATCTGCAGTGCGACGTCGAGGAAATTGGTGGCGTTGCTAGAAGGGAGTTGCGATACCGTGGCTGAAGAGAGGGATTGGAGTGCTTGGTGGATGATAAGAAGACCATTCGCTGTTATCACGCCTGCGGAGACATCGCGTAGCGGTTCTTCAGGATGATCTTGTGGCGCATCGAAATCCCAACACGGGACCATGGGGTGATGCCACTTCCCCTCTCCTTCTTTCAATCTGCGCAAGAAGTATTCTGCACATTGGATCGCTGTCGCCAAGTACTTGATATCCTTCGTCCACGAATACGTCTGCGCAAAACCCATTATCGCCCAGGCTTGACCTCGACTCCACGTCGAATCGTCTTTCCAACCCTGATTCGTCATCTTGGCTTGTGGTTGACCGGTCCGCGGGTCGAAGTTTACGAGGTGGTAGGAGGAGAAGTCTGGTCGCAGAATTTCGTGGATGATGGAGTCGGCGTGTTGGGTTGCGATGTCGATTAGCTTTTGGTCGTTTTGGATGTGGCCGACGAAGTAGAGGAGGTCGAGGTCTGAAACGTGTGAGTAAGTGGGGAGAAGAAGTGCTTGGGGTGGAAGGCTTACTGCACATGCTATCTATAATGACAAGGAAGTTTGTGGACATGTCCGTTATTGAGTAACGATCGTTGATCGCAACATCCCAACTCCGAATCGCTTTCACCCGGTCGTCGTATCGCGATGCGAGCGCGTACGCTGCGTTGATGACAGATTGTAAGCTCTCTTTGTTCCCAGTCAACTCCCAGTCTTTTTGTAACGCAGGCTGTACGATGAAGCCCATGTCGTGGGTATCTGTTCGACCCGACATCTGGTTGATAGCGACGCCATAGTGTCGACCCAGTTTGAGCAGTTGGTCCTGGATTTGTGGCCGCACATTTTCCGGGACATCAATGGCCTGAGGGTATCGTATTGAGCGTTCGAGAAGAGCGTATAAGCATCCTGGGAAGAAGCCGCATGTCCAGAAGTCTGCTTCTCGCTCTTCATATCGGCCGGCGTCTGGACCGATCTGGGGTACGGTGTGTGGGTATGACGGTAAGGGAGCCGGTTGTTTGAGACCGCGTTGCGCGACTTGTATGATCTTTGCTGCTACGCTTTCTGAGTAGATCTGACTGAGGTCGACATCTTTGACACTAGATGGACTTAGCATTGGCTTATGTCGTATAGCATGCGCGTTTGCTTACACTGCGGCCTTGGAAGTCATCTTGGCGTCCTGTACAGCGCTTCCCATCTTGCCTTCGCGATCAGAACTTGCGAGTGACGTTTGTTCGATAGAAAGGTAGATTTCCGTCCAATGTGATTTAGAACTGGATTGTTGAGGTGTGGCGTTTCCAAGGAGCTTGATTGCAACTGAGCGGAGGGAAGAGTTGGGAAGCAAAGCGAAGAGTAGCCAAGGTGTTGCTTCTTGCCAAAAAGCCTACATCGGGCGACGCGTAAACTGTCGCGCGTAGCATGGTGGGGCTGTTATCGATACCGGGTTATCTCGCGACGAATGTTCAAAGCCAAGGTGTAGGCTAAACGTGGGATCTGCATTACCCCGATGCCCGCTACCCGGCCGTTTGCACAAGCTCAGGGCATCGCCCGCGATGTGGACGTCATGCTTTTCTTGATCTCGTATAGTTCTGGAGCTCGTGACTATGCTTTCTTGGACTCGTGGACGGTCTTCCAGAAGAGGTATCTGTTCCTTCGCTTGCTGTGTTGATAAGCCTTGGAAGCGTCGTAGCGTTGACCTAAGGCTGGGCTTCTAGCTACTTTCCCCGCATTGTACTATCTGTGAAGTCTGGGGTTGCAGTAGCGCTGCTTGCATGTGAGGACGGAGATACTTTGACCGTAAATATCGACGCGTCTAAGTTTGAGACGATCACATGAATCTTTGTCGGCATAAAGATGCTAGGGTCCGTAACGTGGATAGGACCAGCCAACACTTCGTGCTTTTAACTTCAAAATGCTGTTCATTCGTGCAACTGCGAGCCTGCTGCTGATTTCCCTCGCTGCTGCCGCGCCGCCATCAGCGTTGAAGAGGTCCGCTTCCATACTTCCTTTATCAACCAAGGGGCGAGATATCGTCGACGCGAACGGCGATGTCTTCCACTTCATGTCGACCAATTGGCCAGGCCACCAAGAGATCATGATTCCTGAAGGCCTCCATCACTCATCCGTCCAAGATATCGTATCGTGGTTTCCTAAGCTCGGCCTCAACTCGGTCCGCATGCCGTTCGCAATTCAGATGGTGGATGACTACCTTGCGAATAGCCCTAACCAGACTCTCGAAAAGAGTGTTCTTAATGCGATTCCGGGCACAAACGGCACCGATGTTCTGAACTCTATCCTGGAGAAGAACCCGCAGTTCACCAAGAACACGACAAGACTCCAAGTCTGGGATGCTGTTGGCAAGGAACTTTCGCGTCAAGGTGTGATCATCCACTTGGACAACCACGTTTCGAAGGCATTCTGGTGCTGCGGCGACGACGACGGTAACGGCTGGTTCGGCGAGAAGGACTTCGACGTGGAGAAGTGGAAGCGAGGTTTGGCCTTTATGACAAAGCATGTATGTGCTTAAATGACCGTCTGCTATGGAGCAGATGCTAACAAGATTAGGCGAAAGAAAATTGGTCGACGTTCTCGTCAATGGGACTGCGCAATGAGCTGCGAGCTGCCAAGGTGGCCGAGCCGGTCGACTGGTATACCTGGTACATCCACATGACTGCCGCTGCAGACGCCGTTCACGAGGCAGATCCCAATGCGCTAATCTTCTTCTCTGGTCTTTCGTACGACACGTACATAGACCCCATCCCTCTCGGAAAGACGCTCAATGGTACTAGTGGTACATCGACTGCGAACAAGACCGCGAAGTTCGTGCCCGATAGCTTCGCTTGGAAGGACAAGATCGTTCTCGAGCTCCACAAGTATGATTTCGAAGCCACACAGGATGACTGCGCGACCTTCAAGAGGAAGTGGTATCAGAAGGGCTTCCAGGCCGTCAACCCCGACGACCCAGCGACCAAGTACACTTTCCCGATGGTAATCTCCGAATGGGGATTCATCCAGAACGGAACATACTGGAACCAAACCACTTACGCGGAATGCTTGGTGGAGATGGTCAAGGAGTACCAGGTTAGCTGGCAGCATTGGGAGCTCTCAGGTAGCTTCTACCTCCAGACTCGTCCTAACCGAACTCCCAACACGCTCATAGGAGCGGATGAGGCATGGGGATTGTTGAACTACGATTGGTCTGCGCTTCGATCGCCTGTCACCCTAGAGAACAGCTTGTACCAGATGATCGAAGCGTTGAAGTAGTGGAAAGGCGTAGCGTAGAAGTAGATATGGTCATTCCAAAATCGAAACCCGGTCGCGATCACGCTCTCCTGATATGTAGGTATAGTCGCGTGAAGATGCGTATGCACGGCTCTGCATGGGAGGTCCCCGGGCACCATGCTCTTCCAAGGTTACACAAAGAACGCATACTCAACGCGAACAGTTTTTCGAGATGGGCCCAGGAAGTGAAAGTACATGTGTCGGTTCCGGGTCGTAGACGTTGGCGATGAATGTGCATGCTCGTGGTTGCGACGCGTAAAGACACGCCTAAGATTTTCCGTTCGCGAAACGTGTCTATGACGTCATCGGATGTTACCACACCATACATGCATCTGCGCAACGCCAAATAGAAGAAAACTTGCATGTGAAGAAATGAGCGGTATAGTAATCAGCGAGTGATTCCGAGACCTACTTTCACGCTTGTTAGGCGGACGATGCGCCGAAGTTGCTTGCCTGTGGCTGCGCCTTGGCACGACTCATGGACCGCAATGCATCCTTCCCGAACCAAGATCTGAGCTTCATTCCATCACCCCACAGCTTCCCCATGCTCTTGGCTATCTTCCAGCAGCTCAACACCCACCGGATAACGGAATAATACCTATTTCAGCGCCCGTTTGTGGATTTCTCTCCAGAAGAAGCCCGCCCCCGCACTTGACCATCCGTATGCAGAAATACACCGACGCCCGCGGATGAGCGGTCCAGTCGCTTACTAGCTTTGAGATTTAGCCATGCGGGAACTACCTACTCACCTGTTCTTCGGGTTCCGACGAACGTCAGGGCTTTAAGCACGAAAACCCCAGCTTTGTTGTACTTTTCCGAGGTCGTGCCGTCAACACTTTCATCTGACGAGAGGCTACTCAACATGGCTAGCACGCAGCCCAACGACGAAACTGCTGGTGTCGCCAACAGGACTGGCGAGTTCGATACCAACGTTATCGCGCCTGCTGAAGCCCCCAAGAGGTCGCCATGGAAGGCTTGGATGTACCTCTGGGAATGGTATCCTAAGCACTACCCTGAGGAGGAGAGGAAGTTGCTGAGGAAGATGGACGCTTGTCTGCTGACATTCTGTTCCTTTATGTGTAGGTCATACTATCGGGTCTCCCAGTACTTATATGCTAACGAAACTAGTCTTCCTCAAGTGGCTGGACTCCTCCAACATCAAGAATGCCTATGTGTCGGGCATGAAGGAAGAGCTTAGTCTCTACGGCAACGAGTACTCGTTATTCGACACCTTCTACAACGTCGGATATCTCGTGTTCCAGGTCCCATCTTTACTCCTATTGTCCAGACCGAAGATTGCTAAGTACTATCTGCCGACCATGGAAGTGCTGTGGTCCATTGTGACTTTCTGCCAGAGTCAGATGCGCAGTCGAAACGACATCTACGGTACTCGATTTCTGCTCGGTCTGCTCGAGACGCCTGTAGCATCTGGTACCACATATGTACTTGGCTCTTGGTACAGGCCTGAGGAGGTCTTCAAAAGGACGGGAGTTTGGTATGTCTCCAACAACATTGCTGTGATGTTTGGTGGATATCTACAAGCTGCGGCCTACAACAACCTCAACGGGTAAGCGACCTTCCGCAAAGTATTGTGCTGTCGCTAACCTCTTGCAGTGTCGGTGGCATGTCGGGTTGGAGATGGCTGTTTATTATAGACGGAGTAATCTCTCTCCCTATTGCTCTTGCGGGCTTCCTCATCTTCCCGGGTCTACCAAGTAGCGCTAAGCCGTGGTGGCTTACACCAAAAGAGCATGCGCTGGCTCGCTCACGCATGGTTAACGCCGGTGTCGCACCAAGCAAAGAGCTTAGTTGGACGGTCGCAAAGCGCACATTCATGCGCTGGGAGTTCTACATGGGCGTACTGTGTTATACCTTGTGAGCATCTTCGAGCAACCCATAGTTACGAACGCTGACCGACTACTAGCTTCTTATCCTCCTCTTATCCTCACGGACAGATGGCAATCTGGCTTAAAGACCTTGCTGCCAAATACCCCGGCGCCTACACCATTCCTCAAATCAACACTATCCCAACTGGTGCCCAAGGTGTCTCCGTCTTCGCCGCGCTCCTCGCCACCTCCCTCTGTATGGTCTACCCGCTCTGGTCCATCTTCTCGATCGTCCAGACTATCTACATCGTCGCCAACATCTCTCTTCTGGTCTGGAACATCCCTAAGGGCTACCACTTCGCCTGCTACTACCTGCTCGGTGTATCAGCTGCTGTGACCCCCATTCTCATGCCATTCATCAACATGGCTCTACGTGACGATGCAGAAGCACGCGCTGTCACTGTCGGTGCTATGTTGACAGCTGGCTGGGCTGTCTTCTCCTTCTACCCCATCACAGTATTCCCTATCGTCGAGGGCCCGAAATGGACCAAGGGCTATGCAGTGAATATCTGCTTCATTGTAGGATGCTGGAGTTCATTCTTGGTCATGCAGTATCTGTACAAGAAGAGCGAGAATAAGAAGCAGAACATGATGATTAGGGACGTGGCTAAGGATCAGGAAGACATGGTTGGACTAGACATCAAGGACGCAGCGGAGGTCGAACACGCAGAGGTCAGAAAGTGATGTGCAGGAGAGACAGATACCCTAAGTTGCTTGTCGGTGCGCTGTATAGGTCGGCTTTGTGAACCTGCATATATGGAATGGAAAACTTCTAGTTCAATGGAACCATCCAGCTTCGCCTGATCAAACATCTTCTACTCCGCTGCAAGGCAAACTTTACAATCCACGCAACGCCTCTCAAAGTTCAAACTAACGCACCATGCCTTCCCAACCCCACCATCGGATCCCACGAACGCTACGAGGACGTGCGCAAACCCAACCCGACATGTCTAACGCAGCAACAGATTCCCTCTCCCCACCGCGCCATCGACATAGAACCAAGCGAGAGGTTATCCCACGCCGCCACACCACACCCTCCTACTCCCCTTACTACAACCGCATAATCCGACTCGAAGGCCAAATCACATCCATCATCTCCATCCTAAAATTCTACCTTCGGTACGCAGACTTCCCCACAGACACCTCGCTTTCCGCGCTACGTCTCCATCCATTACCTGTATACTTCGACATGATGCAAGAGCTCATCAGCCACATCGAATGCGGATTAGATTACAACGGCGCATTCAACGCCGGCGACCTGATATATCTAGCGCAAGAATGGTATTTCCCGCATGTGAAACGGGGAGTGGAGGCAGACGAAGAGGTGGAAGTAGCACCCCAACCGCACTGGCCTAAAATCCTGTTTCTGGCACAGCTTCAAAGTATCCTCGAAGACGCAACGCTCAGTCTGGCTCAGAGTCTGAAGGCTGGTTGGAAGTGGTTTATGGATCTTGATGTTTTCCCATCGCTACCTGGAGGAATGAGGGAGTGGGCTTTGGGGTGGCATGAATTGCCGTCTGCGAAGCAGAAGGAATTTCTCCGGCTTTTCGATGTAAATGCTCAGGTTCTAAGTGGCACGATGGACGCAGTGGGTACCATGTCTTTGCGCGGTCCGTTAACCTTAGACCGCGAGCAAGTAGGCTGCGTCACTACGTTTCTAGCACAAGACCGTCCACTCGACGCTGTCGTTCCGTTGATGCTCAACCCATCGAAACAGAACCTTGGATCATGTTCGCTCTGCGGCACTACACTCTGCAAAGAAGATACCGGTTCTGAGAAACCGCATCGACCTGTTGAAATCCCCTGCGGACACATCTTCGGCTCGGAGTGTATTGTAGAGCATTTTCGCAAGCCGGAGGTGTGGAGTTGTCCGTTTTGCGGGTGAAATCTGTTCGATGCGCCGCATCATCCTGTTGCGCCGAGGGAGGTCGTAGAGAGCTGTGATAGACTTTCTAAGTACCTGGATCCGCCGATGCAGATTAGCTTTCCGGTGAGTCCGCACACTTATCTTGAGAAACTGGGGATAGTTTTTGAAGACGCGGATGCGATACGAGAGCATTTGCACTGCTGGCTCAACGCTCCGTATGCGGCATATGTTGAGTTGTTAGCATTATTCGATTTGGCGCTGTATCTTGCGAGGGACAGGCTAGGTGCTGCAGTGAGGGGGGATGTTATTGAGTTTAGGGAGGTGGTGGGAAGGCAATTTCAGGTTGAGGCGAGGATTCAGTGGTTGGAGTTTTTGAGGAGCTGTCATCCTAATTCTCCGGTGGTTTGGTAGGGAGACGTGAATCGTAGGCGCGAATTCATATTAGATTACCTTCTTGAGGCCTCTTTGGTGAGGGCTCGCGTCCATGGAGATATGTTGAGTGCAGCCTCAGTGAGATACGACACATAAGCACCCGGGGAAAATGCCGAGCATCTTCCCTTAGGAGTTGTCCCATCATAATAGTCCCATTCTCAACTCTCCGACACCGTACGTCTTACCCATGTGCAGGTATTCCCAGAGAGCCACGAGTCATGCCACCACCCTCCGCCAAACCATTCCTCCGCGCCATCCGAACCCTCCGACTCGTCCGACACTTCGGCCGACAGCATCGGGCCTTGAGGATGCCAAGTCCTCCGTCGCAGAGAATAGTAATATGCAGCATCCGCAAGTCTGCATTAGCCCACGGCAATTCGCACATCCCGTAGCTTCGGCGTAATGAACACGCACGTGAAGATCACCATGCCCTCACGCAGTAGTCACGGAGCATCGGACATAACCCACGGAGCAAGAACAAGAAGTATCGATTGAACCACGCTACCCAACAGGGCGCTCTAGGAATGGGTATAGACAAGAACAGAGACTTGCGATGAGGAGAAACCTCTCTAGCGTAGGAAACAGGGTGTGTATGTATGTACAAGAAGAGAAAGAGGGGAAATAATGCAATGAGTGGTGACTGCAGACCAGCAAAAGGTCCAGCCTTGAACTTAACCCAAGAAAAAAACGCCCAGCGATGCTTATACCCAAATGCCAATGCCAGAGTGATGACTAGGCGAACAGGAATCAAGCCTTCTCCTTCTTAAAGCAATTCTTGAGGCGAAGCTTGATCTTGTACATGTACCAATCGCTCTTCCTCTTGAGCCCAAGACCCTCGCTCCCGTCTTCACCAGCTGTATTCTTATTGTCTTTACTCTTACTACGCCCACCTTTCTTTTCTTGCTTGCGCTTTTTCTCATTCATGACAAACATGCTTGTGGGCCGTTTCTTGAGTCCAGGTCCGTCAGTGACACCGGAATCCCACATGCCGGTTGTCGTGATGGGCGCATAAGCGGATTGTGTCTTGCGGGAACGTTCGATTTCAGGCATGGCGGGCGATAGGAGCGGGGAGGCGAGGAGAGGCGCGGGCGAGCTTGGGCCTTCGGTTGATGGGGAGATGACGACAGGAGAGGGGATGGCGGCAGGGAGTGGGCGGGTTGATTCGGCGGAGGGACGTTCTATGGGTGAAGGGAGTGAGAGCTCTTTGATGCGAAGAAGCTCCACGCTGCGTTTCATGGTGCGCTCTTCGGGGGTCTCGACGAGTGTCTGGTCTTCGAAAGTGAGGCCGTACTTCTTCCTCATGCTGCCTGTCATGCTATGCAGGGCGGTGCCGGTGGAATTCGCACGTCGAGCACGTGTCTTGACAACATGTACGGGAGAGGCATGTATCGCCGTTCTGGTTGACGCAGGCGAAGGGGGAGTTTCCGTGAAGCTTGTCGTGCGACGGGGGAGCCTTTCCATGCTAGGTTTGAACATCCGAGGAAACGAGCGGCGCTTCTCGTCGAGAGTCGATGCTGGAGATGGCGAGCGCGGGCAGTCCAACATGGACATGGAGAATGTGCGGTTGGCGCATGGACGGAAGGTTGCAGAGGGTGTCAAGGTTGGAGGCGAAGACAAGGAGGGGCTCTCGGTCGCGAATTCTCTAGACGCAACCCAGACGCCAGAAGCTAAGATGAATTGTCGGAGTGCGTCGCCTGTCTCGGTGGGGAGCTTATCCGTCAATGTGTCCATGAAGGTGTTCATGTCGATGCTTGAGGTGTCGGTAGTAGGAGATTGGGTGTAGGAAGTTATGCTAGGCGTTGACGGCGAGGCAGCAGACGGCATTGCGTAGGTATCCATGACATCTATGCGACTGCGGGTCATCGTTGCAATGATGGGATGGCGCCTGGAGTTGACACTCAAGGTGCTGAAGGTAAACTTCTTCTCGTCTGGAGCTTGAGGAAGCGATGGCGACAGCGGCGCAGTCGTCGACATGCTCGACACACGACGCGAGTGGTTTGGCTTCAACACCCAACGAGCCTTCAGCGTCAGTCCATGTTCGTCAGTGCTATTGAACTCGTAGCCTCCGTTAGGCATGTCGGTGACTGCCCAGCGACTCGTTCCGTCGTTCATGCAAATCTCCGTTGTCTCAGTAACCCCCCTGTCGCACTTCCGTGAGCTGATGACGCCAATTATGTCGCGCGAGCCCCAGCGATCTTCTTCCGATTTATTCTCGTCATCCTGACTGTTGTATGCTTCTGCTTGCGCAATGAGGAGATCGTGTGGTCCCAGTCTTTCCCTAGTGTTGAAGCTCCGCGAAAGACGTCTCGAGGCTCGCTGGGGGATGGCCGAGAAAGGGACGACTTCATAGGCTGGCTTCGGGCGCTGTGACGCAATGACTTGGTGCAGCTGCAGGGTAACTCTTTGCCGGCTATGGAGCTTGGAGCGAGTGTTTACGGGTCGGGCGATGATGTAGGATGTCTTGGAACGAGGGGTCCGCTTCTTGGGCTTGACGCTAGTAGCATCGCTGCCGGAGGAGACGGGTCTTGAAGGAGCGAGGGTGATGGTGGCTTCGTCATGCGGCTTCTTCATCGCATCCCTATGCGAGGCGCGCGTAGGAGTGTCAGGGGCATCGGTCGTAGGGTCGGTATGGGTAGAAGGAAAGGTCGCCTGCGACGGTGAAGGAGTCTGGCCGCGCAAGACGGAACCGAGAAGGGAAAGCGGCATCTGCAGGAAAGAGCCATTGGTGGTGGGCGAGGCTGCACGCGGTGGTGAGCTCTCATGGCCGTGTTTGGCGGCGTCGGCGGTCAACATGTCCAGCAGCATTGCTCCAGCACTCAATCCAGGTGTGACATGCTGAGAGACCCGTCAGCAAACAAGGAAATGACGAAAACACAGGCGCAATCAGCGCATGGGACGCCATTGTTCTTATGAAGGCGGGCCCCAAGGGCTGTGCGCTGAAGTTTGGAGGTCGTGCCCCCTCAAGCGTAATAGGCACACCCACAGGCGACGAACAACTGGGGCTGACTTACAAGCCACAGCTAGCAGGCTGACCTTATGCAGGGAATGGGCTGGCCAATCAATCGCTCCCTATAATATGAGCTTGTGCAGCTGAGTGTCTCAGGACGCGGCGCAGATGCAATTGCAGAAAACGAAATGGAAACAGAAAAGAAGCCGCCCTGATGGGCCCCCCGTCAGGTCATTCATCGGCCGGCAGGGCTCTACTCACCATCCGCATCGTCGACGCACAAGGCACACAGGCTCCAACGCCGGTAAAGTCAACCGTCGTCCGTCCCGTGGGCGCAGGGACGCCAGCAAAGCCGCATCCGGCAAGGGGCTAGAACGATTGGCCGATCGTGCATATCATGCACACTCGCTACGAGCCCCTCTTTTTGCTTCATCGGGGAGCGATTACTCGGCTTCGGCGGACAAAAGCTGGGGGGCGGCTTACGGTGTGCTCATCGCCAGCAAAGAGACCGCTGACGGCGAGGTCTCACTTCGGTTCGGTGCGGACCTTTGAGCGAGCGCAGAAGACACGTTCCGCAGGGGTCCGAATACCTGATTATCTCACGATCTTAAGATTGATCATGCGGCACGGCGACCATGGAACCTTCATAAGGAACTCTGGGCAGTCAATGCACGGCGTATTCGTATACACCGAGGGAAGCTTCGATTGGCTAGCCTTGCGATGTTTCAAGCGAACAACGCTGTCAGCCAAGCCACCCAGGAGACACCGACCATGAATTTCGCACTGAAGCATCATGGCAAAAGTAGATCGCAGCTGGCGCGAAGCTTGTCAAGCTCGCACGTTGCCGTTGTGATGTTCGCGACAACAATGGAACAAGGCACCCCGCGGCCGCCTGAGGCTTACGCAACTCTACCATGAACGTCGCGAGGAGGGTTTCGAATTAGCCGTTACCTCACCGACAAAGCAGCACACCATTACGCCGTGCTGCACCTCTTGCTGCACGACCCGCTACAACTCACGATCTTTCTGCAAGCCCGCTCGCTTCTGATCGTCGGTTCCGTTGTGCTCCGCATCCCGCTGCTAAATTTTCACCGAGACCGACTCGTCAGCTGGAGGGCACATTACCGTCACGCACTCGGCTCAACCGAACTTCCGAGATATCTAACCTATCGAAACAGGAAAGCATTGCGTGCGAAAAGTATTACTATTCGCCCATTTGTCAAGAACCCCGATTCTCACGGCCGCAACGATAGGAAAGTTGTGTCAGCGAGGGTCGTGATCTTTTGCAACAAGTGCAAATGTCAACGGACGAAATATCAGGCCAGGGCTTCGGTGCCCATCCATCAGCTGAGAGCCTTGTCAATTGGTTTACGCAACATGGGGGTCAGCTCAGTCCAGACGTCCAGGTCGTCTACAGCGACTCGCATGGCTTTCACATGCGCGCTGCCAGA